GGTCGGGTCAGAGCTGGTGTGCGCGGGGTCGCGAGCTGGGTCGGGGGGAGCGATGCGATACCTGAAGATGGGGGTCTTGGGTCAGAGCTGCAGGGCTGTGTCCCAATTCATGTCCACTCCCACCGTGTTGTGGTCTTGAACATCGAAGCATGCTTCATTTAAATTGAACCGCAGCTTATCTCTGAAAACTACATTTCTTATATAATGGGAGAAAAATACCCTCCATTACTCATGTCATTTTGAGAAATAAACAGCTAAAATTGAGACTTCTTGAAATATCATGGCTTTCAGGTCAAGACATACTGACTCTCACTAACAGTGAGGTACTTATTTCTTCTATGCTCTGCATCATTTAAGGATATAACAGATGAACAAAGAAAGTGAACACTCTTTAGTCAGCATGTAAGTAACAGAAAGTTTGCTCATTGAACAATTTGTTATTGAATGCCTTCTGGTAATGGATCTATTACTACATTGCAAGGTATTAAGAAAAGAATATATCAGACAGGGCCTTAGAACCCCAGAAGCTTATCTGCCCTGTGTATTCAGACAGATTTAAGTCAGGAAGATGTCTTAGTTTAACTTTCTCCTGAAGCATATCCTGAGACAAGGATTTTAGAACATGTAGTTATTTTAGAAGGTGTAGAGAGCTCTCGTGGCCTAGTCCTCCAGGCACACAGTTCGAGGCCAACAGTCACTCTGTGGAAGAAAGATGGGCAGTCTCCTCTGGTACAATTAGTTACCTCTGAAAACCCACCAGAGGGCCAGCTATAGGTTCCAACTCTACAGTACACAACAACAAGGAACATCAGTGTAGGAGAAGGGAGGTAAAAAAGGGAAAGGAAGGCAGCCATAAAGTTATATTAGTAAGACACCTTGTTTAGTCAACTTAGTTGCTACCAATATTCCAATGCATGTGTGCTGAGTTGAACAGCTCCATAGGATTTTTCAAAACTCTAACCTTTCAGAAAGGAGCTCTTTTGGTCCAGTGGTAAGAATCTATGTTGCAATCTCAAAGGCACACAGTTCAAATCCACCAGGTGCTCTGCGGGAGAAGGATGGGCAGTCTCCTCCCATGCTATGTGATTGTTGTCTCTGAAAAATCTGCTTAACGGTCACCTATGCGTCAGTTCTGACTCGATGACACATAACAGCAACAACAAAAAGCTTTCAGTAGCAGATCACCAGGACTGGGCAGATTCAGATTGCTAACTTTTCAGTTAGTAATCTGGCACTCGGCCATTTGCACCACCCTGGGCCTCCATATGACAACTATCACGTAGAAATTAGCTTATCACATAGAAATAAATCATGTGAAGAAATACTTGGAACTGGTGGAGAGAACCTGCCTACATTCTAACCTAAGAGGTAGGAGAAATAGACTAGAGTCATACTCTCAACTTTCATCAGTTATTCATTGAAAGGTCTTTCACAAACATTATCCCTAGCACTTCAGCCTGCCAGATACCTGGGCAGTATTGCCCTCTACATTTCTGGAAAAAAAAATCTCAGGCGCACAATGATATACATACTGACTGCTGTAAGTCATCCATTGCACACATAAAATAAATCCAGGGAATACGGACACAGAATTGACAGCACGTCTGTCATAGTAGGATTCTTGGTAGATGTAAAACTTGAAATACTATTTTTCTTCTCTCTCCAGGTATCTTCATGACCCTATCCCTGTTGTCCATTGTGTATGGAGCCATGCGCTGTAACATCCTAGCCATCAAGATCAAGTATGATGAATATGAGATCAAGATGAAGCCTCTCGCCTACATCTGCATTTTCCTGTGGAGGAGCTTTGAGATTGCCACTCGAGTTGTGGTTCTGGTCCTCTTTACCTCTGTACTGAAGATTTGGGTGGTGCTTGATGTACTTATCAACTTCCTGACTTTCTTCCTCCACCCATGGATCCTCTTCCGGTACAGTGGCTCCCCCTTCCCTGAGAACATTGAGAAAGCACTCACCCGGGTGGGCACCACCATCGTGCTATGCTTCCTCACCTTTCTCTATGCCGGCATCAACATGTTCTGCTGGTCAGCTGTGCAGCTGAAAATCGACAACCCAGACCTCATCAGCAAGTCCCAAAACTGGTACCGGCTGTTGGTATACTACATGCTGAGATTCGTTGAGAATGCCTTCCTCCTCCTCATGTGGTACCTTTATAAGACCGACATCTACATGTATGTGTGTGCACCCCTCTTGATTCTGCAGCTGCTCATTGGGTACTGCACAGCCATTCTCTTCATGCTTGTGTTCTACCAGTTCTTCCACCCTTGCAAAAAGCTCTTTTCCTCTAGTGTTTCTGAAGGCTTCCTGGCATGGCTGCGGTGTATGTCTTGTCCCTGCAAAATGTACAAATTCTGTGGGCCAGAAGGAAAGACAGACCAAAGGTCATCTGAAGAAAGAGATGACACCCCTTCTAGCAGTAAAGTCAGTTCTGCACCCAGCCAGATCTTGAATCCCGGAGAGCTCTCTGCTTAATGAGACCAGGGATTTCTTGGGGCACAGACATCTTGTTTTCTGGTTTGAGCCCTGTTCTTCATACAAGTAATGAGCCCTGCTAGCACTCAATGCTTGTGAGCTTGTGTGCTTCTCTGGTTTGTAGAACTCTTGGGCATGTGGGAACCACAAAGAGAAGCCAAGAAAACTTCTGTGTGTGGGAGGAAGCACCAAAGGCACCAGAGTTCCTTGACGAGTGTCCATATTCTTCCAGACATCACTGGCCTTTTCACTGGCAGTGTACCACAGACATTTGTCACACTGCAGGATGTTAACCCATGGAATTTGAATTGGGATAGTTTTTCCCATTAGATAGGATGAGGAGAGAGGCTTTCTTTTCAAGTGTTTTGATCTAGGCAACCTGATGATTTATTATCTGGTGCAGAGTTTTTGCCCAAGAGCTCTCCTGCTAATCACAGAAGGTTACTGGGCTTTTCCCATCAGCAACATCATTCCTGTTAGAGTTTACAGGGAAGGCTGTTCATGGTTTTCTTGTTTTTGTTTTGTTTTTAAGAAACCCATGCTCCATTCTTGTCTCATCTTTGTATATATTAGCTGCAACTACCCTGGCATGCTTTCACTCAGATACAATTGATTAAAGACCCTTGATTTGAAGATTTTATTCCCAAGGTCCCATGAATGTAATATTATACTCTAAATTTAGTTATCTAAATGGTAAAATTTTAGAAAAGCTATGTTTCTAAGATTTGTTGAAGCCATTCTGGATCAAGAGAGTTGTTAAAACATGAAAGTTAAGGAGACTTCTGTAAGAGTTCTTGCAATCTCAGTCCAGATTTCAAAGGTCAGCCTTGTACTGCAATTCTGTAAAATTTCTAAATGAATTTTCTAGAATTTGCCTTCTTAAAAAGAAGAAAATAAAACTCATAGTCTCCACTGTCCCTTCCCTTCTTTGCCTGCCAGGAACATTTTAGAAAAAATTTCCTTGGTTAATTTCAATTTCCTCTGGAAAATCCCATAGAAATCTCTCACTCAATCCAGGTAATAGAGTATTTGCATTATTTGGGGTGGGGGGAGGTTTCTGTCCTTGCCACCAGCTGGAGATTGACTTCAGAAGTATTTAAATTCTAAAAGGGCATGAAATAACTAGAAGATTGTCTTTCTTTGAATGTATTTTCATTGGGTATAAATATGAGTTAAGTTGAATGAGCTCTCCAGTTTTATTCTCTTATACCTTTAGATCCTCCATAGTGTTTCCTTTAATCTATTTATTTCATTAAAAAAATTATGCAACATATACTCAGTGTGTTGGAAAAGTGCCTGGATTTTGTGCTGTCATTTTTACCATTCAAATATTGACAATGAGTTTCCTGAAAATAGGTTAAGATCTCACTGATTTAGAATAGGGATCAGAGGAAAATAAGTGCACTCTACTTAGGGACTCTTGTTTTTACCCGGATGAATAGGGTCTCTGGCTCTGTTGACCTACAAAAGATATTTATCTGCTCATAAAAAAATTCTTACTGGTATTGATTTTATATGTAATTTGAATTGCAAAAATGCAATTTTATGCTCAATTTCCAGAGATTAATAAAATAGTATTCTTTCACAGGACTTATTTACAACATAATTTTTTTGCAGTCCTGTAGAAATTAACATGCATGCTCCTACCTGCAGAGCCTCCATTCTATTTTTATGAGGATTTTTTTTCTCATTTGAAATTTTTTTTGTCTTTTTTTGTGGTTTAATTTTATGAAGATATCTAGAAAAACTTTTTGGCTTATTTTTTCCTTAACTAAAAAATAATAAATCTACAAATCATTTATAAACTCCTTGTTAGTACATCATCTGTCACCTTTTTAATAGTAGTGAATTTATACAACCAAAAGGGCACTTCACACAACCCATACCCCTAGGTGGTAGTTATTGCATACCATTGCGTTGGAACTGACCCATACCTGACCTTCCAGTGAGTTTTCAGAGGCAGTAAATCAGATAGGAGAAGATTGCTCATCTTTCTCCCATATAGCAGCTGGTAGATTGTAATTATGTACCTTTGGATTGGCAGCTCAGTTCCTTACTACTAAGCTACCCGAGCTTCCTTCCTATATATATAACAAAGATCCTTAAAAATATATAACAACTGTGAATAAAATAAAACTAAGATATTTAATCCTAATTTTTTTGTTCTTTCTAATTAACAAGAGGATTTGATAATGATAAGGAAAATGTAGGGCCATCCCAAAGCCAATCCAAACATTTCTTTATAGCAAACCGGTTAACTCTTTTCATTGAGGCTAAATATTGTCAAGGTCTTTTATGAGAAAGGCATTCCTATCTTGAAGCTTTACAGTGGCTTCAAGGTCATGCCATGGGAGTAATGAGTGGGAGTAGCCACCATTCTGTTACTGACAAGCTTAGAAATTGCACATCAGTCAGGGTTGGTGGTCTAAGGACCCCTGACCACTCAACTTCCTGAGCCATCCTGCTCTAATAGCCAGCCTGTCATAGTACCTGTTAAAAATAGTGACCTTCAGTACAGTCAAGGTCAGAGATGCGCAAGGAAACTTGGGCTTCCAAACCTTGATTTGGAAGATTTATCTCAAGAAATATTACCACATCTGAATTTTCAGATGCATTTTAAATCCCTTTAATGTGGAAGAGAGGTGAACAACTTACATGACCCCAAAACAGACCAGAGAGTGATGGTCTAACATGCCCAAAGACCAGCTTATACATTTATAAAGACAGAGAAGTTTGTAATTTAATTGGACATTTTGTCCATTTGGACCATTGATATGCAGATATTCCAACTTTGGAGATATATATTCTTATTTTCTAATTCAATAATAATGTTATTTTTCCTGTTAAAAGCCATAATAAACGGAGATTTTTTTGTTTTAAAAAGTATATTGTTCTAGCCTGTCAAGTTGCTTCCAATTTATAGTGACCCTGTCGGTAGAGTAGAACTGTGTTTTGCCTAGATTTCCTAGGCTGTACGTTTTTACAGGAGCAGATTGCTATCTTGTCTCCTGCACGTTGGCTGTTGAGTTTGAGCCACCAACCTTTCAGCTAGTAGGTGAGCAATTTAACCATTGTGCCACCAGAGGTCCCTTAAGAATACATTAGAGCTTTCAGGTGGCAAACTTAACATTTCAGGCAGCAGAACTGGGTTTTTCTAAAGTCAGACAAACATTTTGGAATTTGTCCTAAAGCAAAGTTAAAAATACGTATTTCAGCTTGGGGGTTTTCGCAAAAAAACCCCACAAACCCACAAAGCCTCAGTACCATTTCTAATTAATTATATGCCAAAACGGATCATGACAGCTGCTCCCACTGAATCACTATCATTTGGATGGATTGTTGTTGTTGTTGTTAGGTACCATCGAGTACAACTCATAGCAACCCTATGAGAACTGAACTCTGGTAAAATATCTCCTCAAATTGGAATCTGAATCACAATTTTTTAGACTTTCTCTCTTCATGACTGAAGACAGCCTCTATAAAGAGTAACATCTGTCAGTCTGAGCCCTACAAGTTACTTACATTATTCCTCAGTTTCCTCATTCACCAAACTTGGATCAGACACTTGCCCAACCTACCTCACACAGGTCAAATTGAAGAAATAGTATTACTGTGCTTGAAAATATCTTTAAGGTGCCATGCATAGTTAAGGGATTGTTATTACAGTTCTTCAAATCTATAAGAATATTGTTCTCTTTTTTTATTGTTAGAAAGGAAACAATTAGTGATATCCACTTGAGTAATTTCAGAGAATACATGGGCCTTTGGTTTTTTGAAAGGACAGAAGAAAATGGTGTTTACTCTTGGCGAGAACACTAGCCACTGCCCATTCTCTGACTACCAGTTGTTTACAAAAGTTAGCAGCCAAACACATGATACTTGAAGGAGAAAGATCCACTGAAATCTGAGAAAGGGTTTCTGATGGCAAATGAGTTTATACTTTTTTGTTTTGTCTTTCACAAAGTACGCAACAGCATTTTTGGCTAATTGTGCTTTACAACTTGAATACCTAATACTGCTAGACTTTCATTGAATGTTGTTTTAATTTCTTCAGCCTTGTAAACGGGAAAATAAAAGTTGTAATTGATTGTAAAACACAGAATTTCCTTGGAAAACACCTTAGGATATTAGTGCTATGGTTATGAGTGTCTGTGCCTGTATTTCTTCACAGCCAATAAATCTTGGTCATGAGCTTTTACTGGCTGCTTCCCTGCAGTCATTGTCTCTAATAAATATTGTTTATGTTTCTTCATATGATAAACTGTTGTGTTTTCTTTAAAAAAACCCAAAACTGCCTAACTTGGGAAGGACTGAGGAGCGTTTTCCTAAGTGAACTAATTCAGGCTCATAAGGACAAATACCGTATACTATTGTGGAATGAGTATGAGAATCCAACACGGCGGGTGAGTGGGTGGGGCTCAGAAAGGTGAGGATGGCAGTAGGGGGAGTAGTGAATCACATGGTTGCACAATTTGATGGTTGGGTGAAACAAATATACGAACTTTGTTAACAAACCAGTACAACCCCCCCCACCCCCAAATCTTGCTTTTCGGTTGTTTTGTTTTATTAATAATTTTAATGAAAATTTACAGACTTTGGATTTCCATTCATTCATTGTTGCACTTTTCTCCCGGCCCAACCCTCCCCCCAGTACACTCTTCTCTTTGAAAAGTAAAAGTTAAGTTTCCCCACTGTTTTACAATCCCTCCCCACCCAGGTCCACCCCACTATGCATCCTTCGTTCTGGACTCCTGTCATGACAATAATACCAAATCACATATCCCTTTTAAACAGTTTTTCCCCTCATCTCTTTCAATGCAGAATACATTATTTATCCCATCTTTCTCAGTCTCCGCCAAACTCCGATGTCAGTCCTGTTTTACAACAGTGGCACTATGCACCATTTGTCCCTATGTGACTGAGATATTTCACTCAGCATAATGTCCTTCAGGGTCACCCATTTTGAATAATACTGCATGAGTTCCTTGTTTTTCAATGCA